ATTTTTCTAAATTTTACATAACACAATATTTCTTCTACTTCTAGGAAATTTGTATTTCATTTTGTTCCGCCTAATTTCCGATGAAATGAAAAATATTATTTTTTTTCTTCTTCCAAAGAAACATTCATTGATAAAAATCAACTTGTACATCATGAAAAAAAGGAGCATAGAAAGAGAAGAAAGAAAGAAAGAAAGAAAGAAAAATATTGAAGAAAGATAGAAAATGATACAAATCAATTTAGACAAAAGTAAACGAAAAGTTCTTGAAAAATGAACTTGTAACCGCTCCCGAAATTCATTAGGATTTACAACCTGAAAAGAAATTGTGATAGGATGCATTTTTTTTTTTTTTGTTAACCCCCATGTGGCTTTGTTCGATGATTTCTCTTTTTTTTCTTCATTTTTTTTTTCTTTTTGCCCTCAGCACACGTGCAATTATATCTTCCTCCTCTCTATGAGTTTTGAAAACGTCATCCCACGCAGCGACTGAGAACCGCTTGACCAAGGTAAAAGCAGAGATGGGCCTCCAAGTATCCCAGAAACCGCAGGGGTTCTTTCAAAAATAGGACTTGAGGCTATGCGTTAGAAATTCCTCACGATTCCACGCAAGAGACGACGTGTTCACAGGATATATATATATATATGTATATGGGAAAAAGAAGAAAAGAAAATTGTATACCTATATAATGTCCTCACACTGTCCTTTTCTATTGCCTATAAATCAGCTAATCCTCATTCAATTTGGTGACCTGAAAAATTTCTGCCGAAAGTCTCTTTCTTCATCATCATCATCATCATCTTCTTCTTCTTTTTTTCTCTTAAATAACCTTCGGGAAAATTATTACTCTCTAAATCTGAATTAGTAAAAATGTTTACTAATTTAAATTAGTGACTCACTTTTTGCTTTCAAAATTAGTTAAATTTTACTAATTTTTAGTCAAAGTTATTAATAATTAGTAAAATACTAAATCTGAAGCAAAAAGTGAGTCACTAATTCAAATTAGTAAACATTTTTACTAATTCAGATTTAGAGAGTACAACGTGAATAAAATAGAAATTCTCTTAAATTGGGCACAAATTAATTTTAAGACAGCACATCTTCATTTTAGCATCAAAAACAGAAGGAATGCAAATAAATAAAATTTTCCTTTTTAATCGTCAGCTGAGAATAACATACAAGTAACAGGTAGATTTATGTTTTAGATATCATTTGTAGCAAAAAAAAAAAATCCGTTTTTATTGTTCATTGGACGTCGAGGAATACAAGCTATGAAACTTTATGTCCCCGCTAAGCACCCAACAGATTTGTTAGGCACGTTCTCATCTCTATATAATATATAAAGAACAAAAATATTTACTACCATTCCCATATTTAATCTTTGCATACATATAATATTCAATTCAATTTTTCAACAAAATTTAAAGAATGAAAGAAAATGTTTAGACATGAATATATTTCGTGATTCTGAATATTATTTCTTCTTTTTTGAAAAGTACTTTACATTGTATATTGAAATTGAAAAATAAGGAACTTTGTTTACCCTAAGGCTATTTGTAGGTTAGGAATAAAGTGCGCCTGCGCATGGGAACAAACTAAAGGCACTCTCACACCTTTTTGGCTGCCTGCCTGCCTGCAGGTTACCATGGCAACGTACGAGTGTGAGTGAGACAGAAAATTTGAATATTCAAATTTGTAAATTTTCTGTCGCACTCACTCTCATGCGTTGCCATGGTAATCTGCAGGCAGCCAAAAAAGTGTGAGAGTGCCTTAACAGCGCTTCTATAAAGTTAGCGCCAAATTTGAATCAATTTTTTTTAATAAAAAGTAAAAAATAAGCTATTTTTTTTTGTTAATCGCAGATAAAATGGGACTAATGATTTCTAATAAGAAAAGCAATTTTTGAAAATGTTTTTTTTTTTATTGATAACCCGAATTTGGTAATTAATACATATTTGTCATAATTTTTAAAGTTAAATGATACTAATGAGTTTGTAGTATCCAAGGGATTGAAAATTGCAAATAAATCCGTCCCTGCTTTTAGTGCTATCTCTCTTTCTCTCTCTCTCTCTGTTTCTCACACACACATTCACACGAATACACACACTGCACCCTTTCCGACCGTCGTAACCCCCCTCCCCCTCACGCCCTTGTGCTCGCATCTCAATCTAGACCCCTCGTCATGTTTTAATTTCACGGCCGCTCTTCTCCTTCATTCTGAGCCCCCACATTGCGAACTTCTTATCCCCACCACTTGTCAAGAGTCCTTGAAGAAGGCGTGGCCAGGAGTTGCTCACTCATAAAGAGAAATTTGCGCGCACATACAACCTGCAAAAGCGCAATGTCGTGGGAGGATGACTGGATAGTGGAGGGGGGGGAGTAAAAAAGAGAGGGGATGATCCTGCAACACATACACATACATATATACATGAAACAAACTCCCCTCTGTGACCCCTTATATTCACCTGTTGAATCCTGGTTGAGGTGCAACTTTTAAACGCAGCGTGGCGATTGACTCTTGGGGTGGGGGTAACATCGTTAAAAAGAGAAAGAGGGAGGTGGTAAAAATTGAGAAGAAACCAAGGTAGAAATTATTGTGAATTCTGGTGGATTTTATTTTGGGCTAAATTTTTTATGAAAATAGAAATATATATATTTTTTTAAAATTATTATTGTAATCTCTTTTTTTTTGGGGGGGGGATTTTAATACTTCAATGTCATTTGGTTTCAAGTGGAGATCCAAGTGGCGCCATCTAGATGTACGGAAGGAAACCTACATCTGGATGGCAACCCGACTTACGTCCTTGTAACTCAAAACTTATTTTTCAAGGGGTCAAATTGAAACATATTTTCTTATTGGACCAAAAAATAATGATGATGAAACTTAACTTTAAAAAGAAAGAATTAAATTATTTTAAATTCTTAAATAACATAAAAAAAATTGACAGTTGATCGCACGGTTATTAATTAATTATATAAAATTATGAACTAATAAATATTTTCTTATTTCTACATTGCAAAAAAGACTTAAAATCATCAAAAGTTAGGAAAATTGTTATTGTTTGCCAATCTTATATTATTATTTGTTTAAACAATTTATTATTAATTATTAATAACATTTTTAAATACACATAGACAGTAGAAAATTTCTTTAAACTCAACTTTTTCGCGGTATAGTTATTATATGCAAAATTTATAAATAAAATATAGATTTGAATTTGCTACAAATATTGTTTAAAATTTAAACAATTATTTAAACAAATAATTGTTGTTATTTACTTACTATTTTCCGCAAATTTTTTTTCCCAATTTTGCCATTATTTTATCGAGCATAAAAACAAATAAAAATTATTATTTCAGCAATTATTGTTTAAACAATTTATTGTTGTTATTATTTACTAAATTTTTTTTTATGATACACCTAAAAAGATATGCAATTTATTTCCAATTTTGTCATTTATTAAGCTAAATACAAAAACATAAGTAGTAAAAATAAAATTAATTTTTTAAATAATTGCAGAAAAAATTTGTTTAAATAATTAAATTTTTTATATGTACACATCGCACGTAAAAAAGATGGAATTTTTCAACAATTTTGTATTTTATCAAGCTAAGAAAAAAAAAGTTTTTAAATTCATTCCGAAATAATTATTTTAGGTATTGTTTAAACAAATTATTATTGTTATTTACTATAAATTTCTTCAAAATGTACCAAGAAAGATGCTTTTATTTACTAATTTTACAATTTATCTAGGTAAGTATAATAATGAATGAAGATTTTATATAAAATTATTATTTCAACAATTACAACTGTTTAAACAAATAATTATTGTTATTTATTAATTTTTTACATTGCTTCTAGAAAGATGCAGTTTTTTTGTAATTTATTGAGCTAACCATAAAAAAATAAAAAATAAATATTAAATCATTTTTTCAACAATTGTTTAAACAAATAATTGTTATTTACTAACTTTTTTCTTAGTACTAGAAAGATGAAATTTTTCTCCAATTTTGCCATTTATTGAGCTAAGTATAAAAACGAATAAATATTCAATACTAAATTATTATTTTAGTAATTGTTTAAACAAATAACTATTGTTAAGTAATTATATTTTATACATTTCACGTTAAAATATAATTTTTTTTTCCAATTTCGCAATTTATTGAGCTAAGTATAAAAATAAATATTTAATATGTAATTATTATTATTATTTCAACAATTTTTTAATCAAATTATTGTTGTTTTAAAAAAAATTAGTAAATAATAATAATAAGAATTTGTTTAAACAATTGTTAAAATAGTGATTTTACATTTAATTCTTACTTCTTATTATAATTAATTCAATTAATTGTAAAATTAGAACAAAATGACATCTTTTTAGGTTTACTACACTCAGAGAAATGTTTTATTCGAACCAAATATAATATATTTGAGTTAAATAAACGTATATTTGTCTTACAATCTACTAGCCTATTTATTTGGGGTAAATAAAATTTTTTATTTAAATCAAATAAATATTTATTAGACTGGCAACATATCATTTCTCTGGGTGTAAAAAAAATTAGTAAAATAATAATACTTTGATTAAACAAAAAAAAGAAAGTTAATAACGTCTTGTTAACAATTGATAAAAAAATATTATTATTAATTATTATTAATAATATTATTATAAATTGACTTAAAATTATAATTGAATCGTGAATTTCGCACTCAGAGAAATGATTTATTTGAACCAAATAAAATATATTTGAGTTAAATAAACGTATAATTGTCTCAGAGCCTACTAACTTATTTATTTGGCGTAAATGAAATTTTTTATTTGTCAGAAATAAATTTTTCTTTGGCTTAAATAAATTTTTTATTTCAATGAAATGAAATATATTTGCAACAAATAAATGAGTTAGTAGGCTCGGAGAGAAATATACCATTTCTCTGAGTGCGAGAAGGGCTCAATATTGAATCATGGTGAAAAAACAGTTCTAAAAATATTGACAAAAATGATTATAGTTATTGGTTTTTTTTTTATTAAACATACATAATAAGTACACAGGCACTATCGAATACTCGAAATGTATACAAAAATAATCTAAATATTATTATATTTATATAATACGTAAAACTAAGAAGAAGTTCGTTATGTACAACAGAGTTTATTTTTTATAGATAAAAAATTTTTTTTTTTTTTCTAAAAATGTAAAACATAAGAATAGAATATATATATATATAATAAGTCCATATATATCTATGTAAATGCGATTTTTTGCTGTCACTGTGACACAAGCGAAATATCGCCAACGTCATTCAATACATATATGATCGAAGCGATTCGAGCACTTGGTTAAAAAAAAAAAATTTAGCCAGGGAGAATTTTTTTTTTTTTTTATTAATAACACCTATCCGTTTTTTGTTAAAATGTTTCTTAAGTTATTAAAAAAAAAAAAAAAATAATAATAAAGCTATAATTATTCCACCCGCACAACGCATTCTTCTCTGCTCTCCCTTGAGTCTCATTAAATTTCCTGACATTGTTCGACTTCGATTCGAAACCCTTAAAAACAAAAATCATTTTTTCTAATTACATTTACACAGTTTTTTTTTTTTTTGTTAATTTCTCCTTCGCACAATATAAATTAGATTTATTAAAAAAAAAATTCGAAGTCGAACGACGTGACTATTAAAAAAAACCGTACAAAATAGACTAAACATGTAAACAACAACAATATTAATAATAATAATAATATTAATAATAAATCATACAAATATAATACGCTTTTTTTCCAAATTCGATATTTAATATATATATATATATATTATATCGTTAATCCCGTCCAATATCATGAATTGAATTTTTTTTCCACTTGTCAAGTGCATAGAGTCGCTCAATTTCTATATTTAAAAAAAAATGTATAGAAATTATACACTTAATAACTTTCTTTTTTTACCGTTTTCTTTACATATATATATGAAATGTAATACACAGTATAAGATATATAAAAATGTCTCTCGATTTAAATACGTAATTAATTGGAGAATTACGATTTTGGAAGATTTTTTTTTTTTTTATCATTGGCTATATTTTGGCACGTTGAATGGACGCAATTAGAGTGCGTTTTTTCGTTAGATCGAATGCTCTGACAAAAATATACAGTCGAATAAATTTTTTTTTTTTTTTTTTTTTGATACTTAAAATTCAAAAGAGCAAACGATCGAAACGAATGAATTGACTGAATGCGTCATTAAAAAAAAAAATGATTTGATTTTTTTTGTAACATTTAAACTTATTTTTATAATGACGCTTTCAGTCAATGTATACAAAATTGCGAATTATTCTTGAGCAGAATGTGGTAGGTTTTCTGCTATACTGACAACGACGAATTTTAAAAACCAGAAGCGGCCTGCCGCTGTACTCAAATTCGTCATCGATTTAGGTAAATAAAAAATAAAAAAAAAAAATAAAATAAAGATGGAGACGCGACAGTATAGAGCTGAGATAGTATAGTAGATTCGATGGAATGTGTCGTGTCAGTCAAATCCATGGCACCTCCCTCCCTCACCGTTGAAATTTTTGAGCTCACGAAAAAACAACTACAAGGAATCAAAATTTGATTCCCTGTCGCTATTCGCCTGGAAAATGAAAAATTTTATTTTAATTTTTGAACGGAATAATGATAATAATAATTAAAGTTACAGTAAAAAAAAAATCGTCGACAAGAATCAATTATGTACACAAAAAAAAAATATTTACCTGAAACAGCGAAAGATTTTATTAGAATAGCGAAATATTTAATTGAAACAATGAAAACTTTTTTGCAAATATAGTGAAATGTTTCGCTGTTCTAGGTAAATATTTTCTTAAAAATTGTTGAATTTTTATGGAATATGTTACTTGGGGGTTTTAGGGGCCGCTTATTACGAATCTGAAGTTATCTTTTCAAAATTCAAAATGGCGGATCCAATATGTCGGACGAAAAAATAAAAATTATTCAGATCGGCTTGAAAATTGTTACTCGGGGGTATTTGGGGTCGCTGATTAAGAATCTGAAGTCAGTTTTTCAAAATTCAAAATGGCGTATCAAAATGATCGCTAATTGAGAATTTGAAGTCAAATTTTTATAATTATAAAAATCTGACTTCAAATTCTCAATCAGCGACCACAAAAAAGGCTCGGTATCAAGTTTCATAAAAATCAAACAATTTTTTAAAAATTCGTCCTCCATATTGGATCAGCCATTTTGAATTTTGAAAAACTGACTTCAGATTCCTAATCAGCGACCCCAAAAACCCCCGAGTAACAATTTTCAAGCCGATCCGAATCGGATATATTTTTTCGTTTGACATATTGGATTTGCCATTTTGAATTTTGAAAAGGTAACTTCAAATTCATAATGAGCGGCCCCTAAAACCCCCAAGTAACAAATTCCATAAAAATCCAACAAATTTTTAAGAAAATTTCTAAAAAAATCATTAATTTTTAAAAAATTTGTCCGACATATTGGATCCGACATTTTGAATTTTTAAAATATGACTTCAGATTCGTAATCATCGACCTCAAACCCCTAAAAATTTACTGCCTACTTCGTTTATTTATGTTTTTAAGTATAACATCCAATAATTTAAAATATTTAAAATTCCATAAACAATTTTTATTTAAATAATTTCTTGTAATTGCCTGTATTTAACACTGGGACAGGCAAAAATTTAAATTTATAAAACGTGGATTTTGGCAACATTGATTATAAGTTGTATCAGCTATACAATTTAAAATTTATAATTAATAATTATTACAATTATTGTTCGACAAAATTTAAAAAGTAACACTTAGTACGAGAACGACTATTCAAATTACGCGCCAAATTGTTTTTAGGTTATAACCAAGTTCTGACGTATGATCAGCAGTACTGTAAACGTAGAAAAAAAATAATAGCCATTTTTCATATGAAACATGACATCGTATTATAAAAATGTAAAATATTATTAAATTATGAGTGTTTTGCAAAATTTGTTAACGTTATTTAACCCTTTCAGGGGCACATTATTCTAAGCATACAAATTTTTGTTTCATTACGTATTTATACTTTTTTTGGGTCGCTGAATACAAATCCGAGGTCAGATTTTGCAAATTTTAAAAATTCAAAATGGCGAATCCAATATGGCGGACATTTTTTTTTTAAATTCAATATATTCGCCATATTGGATCCGCCATTTTGAATTTTAAAAAACTGACATCTGATTCGTAATCAGCAACCCCGAAAACCCCCGAGTAACGAGTTTCATACAAATTGCATTATATTTTTAAAAAGTCGTCCGCCATATTGGATCCGCCATTTTGAATTTTGAAAAACTGACCTCAGATTCGTAATCAGGGACCCCAAAAACCCCCGAGTAAAGATTTTCAAAGTCGTAGCACTTCGCGTTTACAAATAGCTGAATTAATTATTAAAAAAATGCATATTTTTCAGATTGATGGAATAATATTAAGTTAACAATAATAAATTATTCATAAACAATATTATAGATTCGTTATATTATATCCTTAGAATCTAAAAATAAGAAATATATGATTATTATTAGATAAATATGCCGGAAATACCAAAAATACAACAACAAAAAAGGTGGGACGTATACGTCCCACTGCCCCTGAAAGGGTTAATGCAAAAAATATATATTTACAAAGTATGAAGCAGAATATTATTATTAAAATAATTATTTAGTATTTAATAATAGATGTCCCATTGTTGAACACAAATCTTCAAAACAAGAAAAATGTATCAAGTTCCAAAAATTTTAAATTTTTCTACTTAATCACAATATAATCTTAATAGAATGTGTGCATTGTGAAAAAGGATGTTAGTTTTTCAAATTTCAAAATGGCGGATCCAATATGGAGGTCTTTTTTTCAAAAATTGTTCGTATTCGCTTAATAATTAGTATTCAGGGGTTTTTGGGGTCGCTGATTACGAATCCGATGTTAGTTTTTCAAATTTCAAAATGTCTGATCCAATATGGAGGTCTTTTTTACAAAAATTGTTCGTATTCGCTTAATAATTAGTATTCAGGGGTTTTTGGGGTTGCTGATTACGAATCTGATGTTAGTTTTTCAAAATTCAAAATGGCGGTTCTAATATGGCGGATAAATATGACAAAAATATTGGTTTCTTTGAAAAATTATTGGATTTTCATGCAAATGGGTATCTTAGGGTTTTTGGGGTGGCTGATCAGCCATTTTTAATTTTTCAAAATTTTAAGATACTGACTTTAGATTTGTAATCAGCAACCTCAAAAACCCTTGGAAAAAAATTTTCTGTACATTTTGGTCACTTTTTGTTGAATTCCTTCTGCCAACGAAGAGTTTAAAGGTGAAGAAAATAGAACAAAAATTACATAATTGAGAAAAAAAAAATAATTCAAAAATTCTTACCCTATCGGAATTGTACAGCTGCGCATGTTGAGCCGGAAGTCTCAACGTACTTCCAAGATCACGTTCAGCCATCGTGTGACCCTCACTTGTACTGTCCCGAACATCTCTAATATCCTTACGATCAGAGTTGGCTATCTTTGTCGAAGGCTGAATCGTCGTCTCTCCACAAGACCTTGCTAACGTTGAACCAGTATCCACCAAATCTAAACGAAGTAATTGATTCGCTGATGTTTGAATTGTCGTTTCAGTGCAAGAGCGAGCAAGACTTGATTCAAGATCACCTTGAAAATCATTGGAGCGCAAAATTTTTGTTGCTGGCTCAACAGTAGTTTCACCACAAGATCGAGCCAATGTCGATTCAGCGTCTACTGTTCTTGTAACTGTTGCTGAAACCTGTAAAAAAAAGAAATTCTTTTTTTAAAAAAAACTATTCCTCTAAAGTGACAAATTGAAAATTCATTTATCGTACCTGAAAACCAGCACTGACAAGTGCTCCAGTCGGAGAAATTGGAGTCTTTTTCACTCGAATTTCTGCTTCCTTGCAATCGCTACTATTAACAAGATTTGATTTTCTCATTCCAGGGTGGACTCCACCTTCTAAATAATCAATTAATTTGTGTTCCTCCACGGAAAATGTGCTCTTAATCGTAGGCTTGTGAATTGGCTGAGATGACTGTGGAGCTGATCGATATTTTGCACGTGGAATCATTACAGTCAAGGAACGGTCACGTTGCTCAGTGTTAACAGTTGCTACTGTAATACAAATATAATTAATGTATTTGAACATTTTTTTCCAATTGACAATTGCTGAAAAGGACAAATTTTTGAAAGAAACTTACTTGGAGGAACTACCGGCATCACTTTTCTAGCATGATGTCGTAATCTATTACTAGGTTTTCTAATGGGTCGTTTTACTGGAGGTGCTGGTGCCAACATTTGTGGAGGTGGTGGCAAAACATGAGGAACATGATGTGGAATCGCCAACTCTGTAACGCTGCCTTCACTACTTGTATCGCCTCCAGTTCCTGCACCTGGAATCATTGCTCGTCTATCACCAGAAGAGCGTCTTCTTCCAGGATGACGTAAACACGCTAAACCAACGCAAACAGCCAACAATCCAAGTAAAACTGCTCCCGTTGTTCCTAATGCAATTAGCAGTACTTTCAAATTAATTTGACATTTCTGTCCACTGTGCCATGGGAAGCATTCACAAGTATTGTGACCATGAGAATTTAATACACAGTGTCCTTTATTATTGCAAGCTGAACATCCCAATGGAGCTTGTGAGCATAATCGACCAGGATAAGCAGGATTCTCCGATAAATCAGCCCAACCTTCCTTACAAGAGCACTGATATGATCCTGGAAGATTGAAACAAACTGCATTCATTGAACAATCATGATGCGACCATCCATCCTCTACTGTTGTACATTCATCGAAATCTTCAGCTTCAACCTGAGAAAAAGAGAATTAATGAATTTCTACTCTTAAATTTCATTTCAATGATCGATATAAACATACCAAACTGAGATTTCGAGAAGCGTAGACCTCAGTACCACCGAGACTATAATTGCTGTTCACTAAATATTTTCGAATAATTCCCTTCAAATGAGTTCCATTTGCATTGTCAAATAGATAGACATGGAATTTTACTTGAACGGGTTCGGGAACAAATCCAGCAATTTTAACACCTTGATAGAGATCACGTAAATCACTTTGCATCAAAGTTCTATCCAATGCTTCCTTTACGTTAGGCGCTAATCGTCTATACTCTGCAGATGATGTATCATTCATACTGTCTGTGTAGAGGACATTGTCACGACCAATGCGATCCAAACCGACACGAAGGGTGTATGTGTAGGTAGCTAGAAAAAAGAGGCAATAGAACATTATTTTAAAAATTCTATTGTATAAAAAATTCTTTAATTTATATCGAGTCTATTAATAATAATCTAATAGAATTTTAGTTTCTGTATTTTTGTAATTAAATTTTTTTTTGTATAATTAGAACTTACGTTTACATGGTCGATCAGGGAACATTCTAGCAAAACCTGGTCTGCAAACACATCGCATTTCTCCACTAAATTCGGCGCACATCTCAGCTTTAAAGGCTCTACATTCAGGAACACATTGATTAATTACTGGATGAAGAGGAATCACTGGGGCACCTAAAATTCCTCCAGCTAAAACTCGATGAATTTCATTGCCTGCTGGATCTTGTTCATCTCTCGAGACTTCTTCTCCATATTCAGCCTCAACCTGTAAAGTTAATTAGTTTCTTTTACAATGTGTAATGGAGTATTTTGTTACATAGAATATATTTCGTATATTTTTTCGAATTTATTTTTTAAATCTACTTAGTGCGAGTCGATTCTATTTTTGTTTAGCGCCTTAGGGATTTTTGTAAAACATCTAGGTAGAACTTGATTTAGACTTTATCTAGATCTTGGTCTAAACGTTAAATAGACGTCGATTAGACCTTTCTTTTCTCGCTGGGATATTGAAACGGTTGTCATGGTAACGGTTCCTATAGTAACTATTACCATGGCAACCATACGAGTGTATGACGGACGTTTCGACAAAGCGAAACTATTAGGCTTTCGGCCCTGGGACACGAAACCCTAAAAATGGTCCATTATCAGTTAACTGAATTTATTGAGTCCAAGGATATTTTGAATCCTTTTCCAGTCTGGTTACAGAAAAGGTTTTAGTACCCAGACTTTTTTATTTTTTTGATTTTAGTAAGGCCTTTGACATGGTACCTCATACTTTATTACTTTTGAAACTTAAATCTTTTGGTTTGTCAAATTCGGTATTAAAATGGTTTGCTTCATAACTGTGTCTGGGAGAAGGCAGGCTGTTTTGGGACAAAATGGAGTATTCTCTGATTGGTGATGCATTGGAACGGGTGTCTCTCAGGGATCAGTGGTCCTTTGTTATTTAATTTTTTTACGGATGCGATTTGAGGAATGTTCTAGAATAATCTAAACATATGTACTTCGTCGATGACTTACAAATTTATATTCATTCTAGTCTGGATGATTTAATGGAGAATCTTGTCTTAATGAATGAAGATGTAAAGTCAGTATTAAACTGGGCAACAACAAATATTCTTGAAGTAAATATTGATAAAACTTATTTGATGATTATTGGAGCAACTTGTATACAAATAATATAAATTTCCCAGTGGGCAAAAAACCATGTTAGTTCCAAAAAACATTCTTAAAACGGTTTTAGAACTTTCATGTCTGCCAAAAACTGTTCTAGAACATTATTTGAACATCCATGTTCTTAAAATGTTTCAGAACATTATTTGGCGGACATGAAACGTTCTAAAAACGTTTTTGGAACGAACATAGTTTTTTGCCCACTAGGTTGAGTGATTATTTGTCGATTAATTTTAATGATACTATTATTCATTTTGTAGATTCACTAAGAAATTTGACTGTCATTTTTAGACCAAATCTTTCTAAGGACATAAGCAAGTTGGTAAAATCTGTAAGAGTGTTTATACGACTTTATCACAATTTAAAATTAATAAAAAAGCCTTAAGTCAGAAATTTTTTTGGCTACCTCTGGCGTTCCTCAGGCTTTACATTTGGGTCCACTCTTTTTTATGCTCTTTATTAACGATACACACCCTTTATTTAAACATAGCTTATATCAACTTTTTTCTGACGACCTTAAATTATATAAAGCTATCTCTTGTTAACAAGACTGTATTGAACTTCAGGCTGATTTTAGTGGGCTTGTCGATTGGTTCATTTTTAAAAACTTTTTTTGAATATTAAAAAATGTTATGTCATCTCATTTACTAAACATAGAAACTTTTTTGAGCATTGCTACAAAATGAGTACAGAAGATGTTTCTACAGTAACCACGGTGCGTGACCTTGGGGTTATATTAGTTTCTAGCATGGATTTTAATACACACATATGTCAAACTATTAATAATGCCAATAGAATCCAGGACTTCGTCATCCGTAATATTTCATTTTTTACAAATATTTTGGCCTTAAAAATACTTTTTTTCTCGTAAGTTAGATCTATTATCGAGTTTGCTTCTCTTATCTGTCAGCCTTATCAAGATTCACTACTAATTGAACTTGAACGTATTCAAAAAAAGATTTTTACATTTTCTTGATACGTCCAGAATTATCAGTGAGGCAAATCAGTTTCATACAAGTTTGGATTTTAACGTCCACTTGGAAAGATTCCTCGGAAAGTTCCCCCTTGGGGGTTCTATCAGAATTCCGTCGGAACTTCCATCGGAGTTCCAAAGAATTTCCTATGGGATTCCGGCGGAATTCTAACGGAATTCCGACGGAATTAGGACTCTAAAAATTTTGAAAAAAAATTAATCGGAATTCCATTGGAACTCCGTCGGAATTCTGATAGAACCTCCAGGGGGCACTTTCCAAGTGGGCGGCATCTCTTTAAATATGTTTATTACTAAGCTACGAGTACTTGCATATAATTATGATTAGACTGTTATAATCTTCGTTCGGTTCGTGGCGAAGAAGAAGGAAGGTTTTTAAACAATTCGAAATCGTATCACCGGCATTCGGATAAATAACCAGGAAATATATTTACCTCTTCAGCTCCAGGTTCAGGTGGTTTCTGATCACTCATCACAACGAAAATCGAGTCAATGGAATCATCGCTGGCCTCATTTTCATAAGATGCAGGAATCGACTGAAGAATAGTTGAAGTTATTGTTGAAATAACATTCGTAGGATTGATGAGAGTTTCTGTTATTGTTTCAACAGACGTTGATGTCATGGTATGAGTGAGCAAAAGCGTTCTAGTAGTGGGAGGTGAACCAAGAACTGAAGTTTGAGTTCTCGTTATGGTGAGTGTCTTGAATTTTGTGAACTAAAGTTAGAGAATGAAGATGAATTACTAAACTGTTATGATTAAAAAATCATTTTAAAAAAAATATGAATCTGAAGAAGAATGATGATAATAAACTTATTAACAATAAAAATGATTTTTAAATATTGTTGTTAATACCTCTTTTGGCTTCATTTCCAAAATAGAAGTAGATCTATTTTCACTGACTTCGTGTTCCTCAACGGTGCCAATGATTTCTTTGACGATTTCAATGCTTTCTCCTTTGATAAATAGTGGTATGTCTTTTGGTTTTGAAGTAGTTGGTGATGATTTACTAACAGAACTTTCGACCTTTGTTGCGATACTGTATACAACTCTGTTATCGGTATTATTTCGCATTGAATGTCTTGTGAAATGTGGTCTGAAAGGTTTTCGAACTTTGGTGACAGTTTCTCGATGAATGCTAGTTGGTCGCCTCTCTTTATGTTCTGGTTTTGAAGGATAGGATAAAGTTTCTGTTGATTCAATTTGAGTTGTAGAGGGCAAAATATTCTCCATACTGGGTTCAAGGAAAACTGGATAATCCGGTCGTTTACTTGGTTTACGGGAGACAATTACAGTTGACGTTGATGGTTCTGTCGATGGAGATTTACTTGCTTCAATGTGCGATGGTTTTGTTGCTGTTGGCATCACTAGATTGGTTGTCAAAATTGCCGAAGGTTGAATGGAAACTCTGAGAATTAAATAGATTATCAAAAGTGATTATCATATTTTGTATTATATAAAATTTTTTTTTTATAAACTACTTACTTGGATGCTTGTTTGGTTTCAAATGGTCTGGCAGTGTAAATACTGACATGTTCCGTTCGTTTAGTTTCCACGGGTCTAAGATCCTCTGGAACATCAACAACCACTGGTAAATCCACAGTGCCATGAATTATCGGTATTTTTGATTCAACATCTTGCATAACTGGTATGTGAGATGTTGCTACGGCTGAAGCTATTTGTATTGATCCAGAAACAGCAAGAACTGGTCTGACAGTAGCGATTTCGACTGGTTTTGATGTTTTCACTGGTGGAGGTGGTACCATATCTTCTGATAAAATATCCGCCAAGAATGGTCTAATGTGAGTAGGTCTTGCACTTGGTGGAATCATTTTAACACTTGGTGGTGAAAGTGTTGCTGCTTTACTAACTGATTCTTTCAAAGGAATAAATAACGGTGGTGGTCTTAAGCCAGATTCGTTTAGAGTGGTAATTTTTGAATCGGATGGACGATTTGTTGTTGTAATTTTCACAGGTGGTGGCGATAGTCCAACAACTTCTGTTGGTTTTAGTTTAACACTTTCCTGATGATCGGGCTTTTTAATCTGATCCGTTGGCTTTTGATGTCGAGGTGGTGGCATCATGTTTTGAGATGGTACCTTAGGTTTGATGGTGGTTGACATACCTTTCCTTTGAGAACCATCACTGGGTGAATCTTTGGCGTCTTCTTTAGAATCAGTACTAGCGAAATTCGTCTGGAAAGCAGTTTCCAATGTTTCATCAATTGGTTCTTTGTTTGGTTTAGGTTTTTTCACAAGTGAACTTGGAGGTCGTTCAGTTTGTGTTTTACTGTCTTCCTCATTGCCAATTGCCTCAATTGGTAGAGAAAATTGTGGTGGTCTATGCGAGTCATGTGGTTTTGCAGATCCAGATGTAATTGTAATTGGTGCTGGAACACGTATTTTAGGTTTTGTTATGATATGCGGATAATCTGGATGAATTCGTACACCAGAACCATGATCAGGTCGAGATATGCCAATGTACGTTGAAGTTGGTTTTGGAATTGCTTGGTCAAGATTTGGTCTTGAAGCCAGTGGTTTTGATCGATTGTGATTTATACTCCAATCAGGTTCAGCATTTAAACTGATAACTTGACCGGGTCCTGGTTTCATGTGTCCCTCACCAAAAAGAACGAAATCTGATTGATCTGGTCTTAAAATTTTAGAAGGGGGTTTGGTAATTATTTCCGGTTGTTGATAATTTCCTGGTTGTGCATCAGGACGTCCGTAAGGTCTACTGTGACCGTTTGGTTCAAATTGTGGAATTATTGCCGGTGGTTTTAAATCAATTGTATCGTCATGTCCTGGAATTTTTGTTCCTTGATAGGAGAAACTTCCTTGGACGTTGCCATAAATTGGAGCTCTATTATCGTAATTAGTTACACCATAGACTCCAAATGGTTTACCTTGAATAACAGGCGTATCGTAGGGTCTAACTCCATATTGATTACGCAAATCGTGACCATTGTTGTTGATAGGATATTGGAATATTACAGGTTTTTCATTAACTTCAGATTTTTTGTATGCATTCTGATTTTTTGTCTCATTTTCTGTGTTTGAATAATCCGTTGGAATTTCCGATTGTTCTTTGTCGTATTCGGGAGGTGTTGCAAATTTAACAGGATCGGAGTCTGCAGATTCTGAATCATCTACTGGTTTATTTGATTCATCGTCAATTGGAGTTGGTGAGTAATATTGATTACCAATATTTTTTATTTGCTGTTCAGACGATGGATTTTTATATTCCACTGCTCCAGTTGGAATGTATTCGTCAGTTCTCTCTGTTTGTGTATTTGGTGTTGGTAATTTCTCAATATTAGAGAAATTTGGAACTATATTTTGCTGATTTTGCATGTTATTCGTGGATTGTTTGTTGTTTGAAATAATATTGTAAGGAAAATCTATCTTATGCTTCTCATTAGAAGTATTCAAATTTTGTTTATTGATAGCAAAACGATTCGATAGATCAATTTGGGGTTTCAACGGCAGTCTTTGATTAGTGACAAACAGAGGTTTCTTAATGACGGGTCGTTCTGAATGAGGTCGATTATTTGTTCCTCTTGTTGGATAACGAGGTCTAAATGTAGGTCTAGGTCGTCTTGTCAATGAAATTCGTGGAGGTTTTTGATCTAATTTCCAATTTTTATTGCCTGATACTTCATTACCAGTTTCTGAATTAGCGGAAGAAAATGTATCCAGTGGTTTTTCGGTTGATAGTGAGACTTCCGTTCTTCGGGGTGGTGTTGCTTCAATTGGTTTTTTAAGTTTGTTAAAATCTCGTCGCGGTGGTAAATGTTGAACGGGGAACGGATGAGGTCGATGAGACACAGATTGAGGTCGAAGATTTACTGTTTCTGGCTTGTGATGGACCAAAATTTCCGTATGCACGTGACCTTGACCGGCTGGAGTGCCAGGAACTTCGGGTCGACGAACTGGATAGCGTTCCACGGGTCGTAGAATTGATGTTCCATGTGGTTTTATATAATCCTGATGAGTTTGTGATAGTGGAATTACATGCGGTCTCTTCGAATTTCCCGGTTTTGCAGTTATTGGTTTGTACGTTTTCGGTGGAGATGGTGGAATCATAAAGATTTTATCGTCCGTTGGATACTGTAAATTTTCTCCCTGAAAATAATCAAAGGATATAGTAAAACGAAAAATAGTTAAGTTGTGCAGTTACTAAATGGATGACTTACCTTTGATATGGATGTAAATGTAGGTCCAACATCTGATTCAGGATAAGGCGATGGATCATCAAAATATTGACCACTGATGTGAGGTTCATTGGTGTCTCCAAAGATTAGTGCTTGAGTGCCGCCTTGTGGTATTACAACATTTGCTACTTGACTTGGTTGAAGATTAACAAGTAAAGGTTGTCCTGTTCCTCTGTCTATTACATGAGGTACTTGATGTACAATCGGCTCCGTGAGTGATGGATTTGATTCAGCTTGTTGAGAAAATTCCGAAGGTTTCAAATGCAGCTTATCCTGTGACCAAGACTGATGATTGTCTTCAATCCAGGGTTTTGTTTTTAAAGAATAATCTGTTTGCAGCTGTAAAAATTTGAAAAATAAAGAAATAAAATCAACTACCAAACTAAGAAAAGGTAAATTATTTCAAAGCATACCTTATTTACAGAAGTTGGCAGTGGTGGTGTTAGAGGTTCCTTAGGATTCCAGGGATATTTGGGATTATCAATCTCCGGGAGTTGAGGATACTTTTCAACATTCGGTACATTAGGAGGCCTTAAAAGTGGATCGTTTTCCAAAATATCATGCTTTGAGCTAATTCTCTTCGGAGGTGGTAAAAGTGGTTGAAGAGGATGAGGTTTTTTCGAAGGATTCAGTGGATACCTAATTGGAACCTTGATGTGTTCTTCGTAAATCTGATACGCGGGGATAATTTCCAGGGGAATATTTCCAATGTGTGAAATTTCTTTATGTTTCAAATTTTCGCGATTATCTTCCACAACTTCGAGAACAGGATGCACTGGAATATTGGGCACTGACATTGGTGGCGGTTTCATGCCAATATGTTCGTCGTCTTTTAGAAATGTTTCCGGTGGTCTTGGTCCCATTTTTCCAGGCTTTCCAATAATTACATCACTATTTGCTGTTATCACTTCTCCGGGAGATATCGGAATTCCATCCGCAAGACTAGCGGTTACCTTGTGACGTGTTTCAGGAATATGATTGTGGTTCACATTTATTAGATGAGCTGAAACAAAATAGAATTGGTATTAAATATTTAAAAATTGTATTAAATAGTAAAACATGATATTAAATTCAAAAAAAAAATAAGGAAAAATTATGAATTACTTACCAACATTTTGACTTTCGGCGGTTTCTATATCACCATCGGCAAATTCCGCGACAGGTATATAAATCGGTGATCTAATAGTTGTTGTATCGGGTGCCTCAGAAACTGGTGCAGAGACAGCTGCTGCAGCAGCAGCAGCAGCTATCGGTGATGTATCATTTCTACGATTAGCTGTTTTTCCTTGCAACAATCCGGCCATAGCGGTAATTACTGGTCCCAACGCTGATAGACTATTAATTCCAAGAGATCCCAAGTTCAGAAGATTGCTTACTTGTATGTCTGAGTTTTGAATAGTAGGTCGTTTATTTTGCTCCGAATCCTCTACTGATTCAGGTGGTACAATTTCTTCCTATTTGAATAATCGAAATATTTTCAAAATTCAATCAAAAATTAATGAAATTAAAATTTTATAATTACCTGAATGGAAGATTCCTGCTCCTCGGGATTCGAATCTTCAGATTCGGAATTACTGTGAACATTGGATGGAAGTACTTCAGAACTTTCGGGTACTTGAACAACAACATTCTCATGACTAGCTGTTGCAAGCGTGTCTTGTAAAGTAGTACTGGTTGGCACACTCTGTTCATCGTCGTCGAAAAAAATAATCGTTGATCCAGTCACGACATTATTTACAGGATCAGAATGTTGTGACGTTGTTAAAAGAGCATTCATGTATCCAGCTTCAAGTAAACTTGGCGCAATTGATTCGGTGACAACATTCTCCACGATGTGAGATCGTGAGGAAATTGTAGTAGCTGTTTTCCCGTCTAGACCCGCCTGGAAACATTTAAAAAAAAAAAAAAAAAAAAGAAAGTATCGTTACTGGATTCTCTCTAAATGCCTCTTAAAACTTTTATTTTTTCTCTGCTATAAAATTGTGCTGACATAATCAAATTAAAAAAAAAATTACGCGGTTTTTGAAAATAATTTTCACTTTCTATTTAATTTTTGCTCGTAAAAAAAATTATTTTAAATTAAAAAAATATTTTTTTTTAATTACCTGAAGAAGTGTTGTGAAATAAGTAAATGTTGTTAAATAAGTTTTTGTCGCATAAATTTGAATTGGATCGGGTGTTTGATTGGCGGCAATTGTTTTAATTGATGTTTTCTTTGGTGCTTTCTCAAGTACATAATCAGTTGATGTGGCAACATTTGTTTTAATAACAGTGCTGTCTTTTTCCAAAAATGTATTAAAATAAGTGTAAGTGATATAGTAGGTCTTGGTTATATCAGGCGATGCACTTTCATTTTCATCGAGTGCAGTCAATGTGGTTTCAACGCTGATAGGACGAGGCGGCGGCGCTGACTCTGTTATTATAAGCTGAAAACCGAGTAAATACCTAATAAACATCAGTCACTTTCTATATACGAATGGCAAAGGTCATCACCTACTTCTCTCAGAAGATGCGAGAGCCTTTCGCTTATAGCTATTATATATATATAGAAGACTTAAAAGGGATTTTGTCAGTTGAAATTTTATCCCGTTACTAATACAATTTTTTTTTTTTTTTCTTATATAATTTAATTTACTATTTTTTTTAGAGTTCATAAATTTTCATAATGCTTCTTTGAGAAGGAAACAGATTTTTTTAATTGCTCGTAACAAGAAAAGAAAAAGTGGTTATTAATTTTAATATTATCTCATCATGAGAAATAAATTTTATCTTAATTTAAAAAATTTAAAATTGAAATGTAATTTTTTTTCTTCTAAATACACTATACCTGTGTGACAGTATCACTTGTCGATTGAATTCTGGTTCTTCCATCCTCAGTAATTGTCTTTTCTAGAACTCGGGTACTCAAATAAGTGTTTGTTTCCGGCCTTGGTGCCTCTGAGGGTTCGAGAATCATATCCAAGTAGTATTTAGGAGCTGTAACTGTATTTGTAATAACTCTGACGCTACTCTCTAATGCATTTTTCTCATCTGGATGATCAGTGTTTAGTGTTAGATATGTATAAGTAGTTTTAAAAACTTCTGTTTGTAAAGTAGGTGAGGCTTCCAATGTATAGGCAGCGGCTTCAGATGCTGGCTTCCGGTGACGTTCTTCTGTAGCCGTATTAGCAACAACCTGGAAATTTAATTTGTCATATTTTCTTCTAAATTAAAATTCTAAAATTAAATTCCAAATTAAAATTAAAGGATTTAATTTTATTAATTTTGAATTTTAATATAAATGGAATGATATAAATGCGTGAGGGGGAAATTAAGAATCACCTGCTGATCAGTAGAGACGATTGTAACTCCATCTTTGGTGATGGTACTGAGATAAGTAAAGGTCGTTGTACAAGTTTTGGTAACAAATTCATTTGGCTTTTCTTGTGGAAGTAGCATGACAACTGCATCTGATAATGTTAAAGTTGGTTGTGGATTTGAATTCTCCCACCTTAGAGCAGGAGTTGGCCCCGCCACGATGACCTCAACGCCATTGGACATAACTCTTGTTGCAAGATTAAATTTTCGTCCTTCTCCTTCAGAACCATCATCATCTTCTTTTCCAATGTATTCTGTCGTTTATATACAATTTTTTTTTTTTTATTTACGATCAAATCACAAGGATGAAAATTATTAATAGTCACATGATAATAAATTACAGGACAAATTATATTTACTTCAAAATACAAATTCTAAAATTACATCTCTAATTGAAATTTTAAATACCCACCTTGAATTAAAATAACCTGTTAAATAACCTGCTAATTAAAATTTGACAAATTTCATAAAAGTACGACATAAGAAAATAATTTTAGTTCAGATAAAGATTATTGTCAAAAAAAAGTATTTCTGAAATATTAGAAAAAAGTATATATACAACGGTTTGCCTTTTTTTATGTACAATTTATACAGATTTGTTTTTAATTTCTTTATTGGTTTTTTAAAAATTGGGGAGAAAAAACGGAGATCGAAAGCTTCCAAAGTTGCATAATTTATACTTGTTTTTCGAAGACAATTTATATATACAATATACAGATGCAGAAGTATTTGAAATAAGTATTTATGTACAGAGTTTAAAAATAGTACTATAAAGAAAAGAGATAGAAAAGAAGCTTTTGAAATTCAAATTTGTAACTTTGGAAACTGTCAATTTCACCTTTTAGCGAAAATTTGATTTTATCATTCTATACAATCAAGAATGATAAATTTTACTAAATATTTTCTGAAAAGCAATATAACATCACAAAAAAAAAAGATTGGATAAAATATATTTTTGAAGAACAATTTGGAATTTAATTTTTAAAATCAAGATTCATACATGAAATGGGTAACAGATTATTAGATAAGTTTTACTGTCCAGTATCTTCAGCACTGGAAAAATGTACTTCAAAGCGGAATTCTACTATTTTTATTACTTTAATAAACTTTAAATTGACAGTAATTTAAAGCTAAATTTAAGCGGCACAGTACAAAAATCTCGATTTTAAAATTAAAGATTAGCAAAAAATTATGTCTAAAAAAAACATAATTCTCTCAAATCAATTTGACAATCATAATTTGTGATGTTATTTTACTGATCCAGAACAATAAATGGGATACTCACCAGTAATAATATCTGGATTATTGTTTGATGTCGCGAGGCTTGATGTCAATTCCGCGGTTGGTGTCACTGTCACTGTAATGGGAACTGTCAATGTCAGTGTTGTCACTCTTGGTCTAACAGTCGTTGACGAAGTCACCTCCGTCTCAAGTCCATTAAGTTTTGTTACAACATACGTATAAGTTCTCAGTCTAGTTGACGTGACAATTGTCTCAGTGTAATAGACACTTGTTTTTAATGCCGGTGTTGGAATAACAGAACCCGAATGATCAGATGTTGGTACAACTGAATCAAAAATTGGTTTTGATGGTAAAATTTCAGGGAAATCAGGACGCGATAGTGATAGATATAAATCATCCGCTAAACCAGCTTCAATATCTTCAGGTGTTGGTGAAGTGAATGTTGTCGTTACTTGATTGACAATTGGACGCGATTTTTCAATACTGGAAATTATAATTTGACTACTTTCGAGAATGTATTCAGTGTCCAGAGGAATGACACTTGGTATATCAGCGTCATCAAAATCGGTGAAATATCCACTTTCGGTTTGTGGTGATTCTTCTTGTTTAGTAGATGAAATAACATTGACGAATGTTTCTAAGGGTTTGACGGTTAAAGAGTCTTCTTTAAGGGGTGGATCAGTTTTTGGGGTTGTTGATTCAACAGAGGAAATAGTATCAGAAATTATTTTTGGTTTCATAATTGGAGGTTGGTTCGAAATTTTATCGTCTTTAGTAGAAATTGTTTGTTTGCTGGTTGTAGATTCAATTGTCTCTTCAGTAGTAGTTGATATAGGTGTTGTTTCATCTATTTGGAATGATTCTGTCGTAATTTCGGGTATGACGTCTTTTGGAGAATTTTCAGTAACCGATTCTAATGGAGTTTCCTTAGTTGTTTCGTTTTCATTAAGAGTAAATGATGTTTCTGTTGTGGTGTCATAAAGATTCGTTGTATACCCATTAGTAGTGGATATTTCATCAGTTGTTCCTTTATCAATGTCAATTTTACTTTCATTCTTTTCTTTAGGATTTTCATTGTCTTTAACGTCAAGCTTAGCATCTGTGTCTACAACAGCATTTGCTTTATTACCATCCAAGAAGGAATTGTCTTTAGTATTCACAGTATCATCCATTTCTTTTGCAATATCTGTTTGTTTATCTTCTTCCTTATTTTGAACATTACTATCATATTTAGCACCATCATCTCTATCTTCATCATTATCATCATCATCATCCGGAAAAACAGGGAAAAAGAAATTATCCGTGATTATAATCGGATTATTAATATCCGGTACAATGGTTTCTTCAATTTTGGAAACCTCTGACAAATCTTTATTGTTAGGTTTGTTTTCAATTGTATTTGGAGTTTCGGGAAGTTTTGGTGTGTATAGATTCAGATTTCCATTTGGAATTTCTTCCTCTTCTTCGGAGTACTCTTCGTCGTCGTCATCATCATCGGACGGTAGAGTAAAGAATCCGGTAGTGATGATAGCCAATGTTGGCGAGGGTTGCGGTATTGGTCGTACAGAAACAAGTTTTTTTCTAGTAACCCTTTGGAATGTCGACGTTGTACTGGGTACAATTTTTCTTCTTCTAGTGATCGTTACCTTGTGCCTAGCAAATTCGGAATTAGGTTTTTCCACATCGGGATCACTAAATTCATAGGGACGATTTCTATCAAATTGATTACCGTAATTTTGTCTAGCGTTCTCGGTATATTGATAGTCAACATTTGGCAATTCATTAGCGTAGCCAGGAGTGTGAGCTGGTCCACGTGGACGAACACGAGTAACAACAATTCTTCGAGGTGAATGTGAATTGATTTCCTGTTCATGTGTATGGGAAACAATTGGTCTACGTCTCACAACAGTGCGGGCAAATTGTTTGCCATTTCTGCTTCTCACAACAGGAACCCTGATACGTACACGTTTTCGTTGTCTCTCGTCTGTTAATTTTTCATAATCGTCCGAATCTTGTACTCTCTCTCCAAAAGAATTAGTCGGGTTATTGTCAAATTTCTCGAAATTCTGTTCTTGATAGTGATTGCTAGTGAATTTCTCTCTGTCATCCAGTTCATATTGGTAATCACCTGAAACGGTATTCATCCAATTTTTTTTCGTTCTTCCTGACAGAGTAAAAAAATGTCATTTGTCGAGAAGTTGTGTCATTACACAAACAAAATCGTGGATTTAAAAATTTTGATAGTGTCTGAGAGCTTGTTGAACGTGTGGGCGCGCGTGCGGCGGCAATAATATTACAAATATCCCAAGAATGTTAGCGTGGTACAATGGGACAGAGGAAATTGGGAAAAAAAAACGAAATTAAGACTCAAGAGAGACAGAGAGTGAGTGAGAGATATAGAAAGAGTAGAGATAGAACTGAAAGGAAAGGAACTATACGAATCATCTACTAAAAATTAATTACAAAAATTATTTGGGAATGAAACATTGATGTTCACGGATTCAGTGAACTGTGTTCTAATCTCTCTCTTCATTAGAAATCTTCAGTGAAGATTTCAAAATTTCTAACTTTGGCGCTTATTAGATTATATTTTAAATAGTTTTTACGCCCATATGTATATTTATTCTAAAATAGAAATCATTCGGTAGAGTGATTGCTTATAGGAAATAATTAATTGTACAATAGTTCATCAACAATGGTTGAGCGAGGAGGATATGTTTTATGATGAAGTTGAGGATGAAAGGGAAATGCAACTGTATGGCTACGGATGAATGGGTTTTTTTTTAGGTGTAAATGGACGTGGAAATGTGCCGTCCTACGTCACCCACTACGCTCTCAAGACTTTGAGTCGGGGCATGTGGATTTGCTGGCTCCTCGCTTCCTGACAATATGTAACCCTCTGATTCGGAAACTCCTTGAAGTGTTGGTGGAACAGATGGTTCTACTGGTATATCAACATCTCTTCTTCTTCTCGGTGTTGTTGTTTCTTCTCCAATTTTCACAGTGCTAAGAACTGTACTAAATTCCCCAGGTCGTCGACCAGAAACATAAAGGGTCACTACACTTGATTCAGGAGCAGCGGGAGCAACAGTGTCCTTTTTGGCTGATTTACTCGATATTTTATAACGACGTGATTTTGATTCTGTTTCTTCTTCGGATGAATCGTCATAATTTTCCGATTTATAATCGGCATCGACTGGTTGATTTCTTCGTTCGACCTCTCCTGGTAGAGTATTGCTCTGAGATGCGGGAGCAGCTGCAAAAAGTGGATCCAACAAGGGATTCGGTTGCTGTGGATTTTGAGGTTGTTGAAGAAGATATAGCAATGAATTAAGATTTGCCTGTGGAATCGCGGCAGTTGGTGTCACTACAACTGTATCGGTAATGAATTCTGTTGCTGTGACGACATCAGAGGAAGATTCAACAAGTGTTGTCAAAATTTCCTTTCCTCGGAATGTTAGGGGAATAATTGTGCTTTGGAGTTTGGTGATCGTTGTCACGTAAGTTGTGGTGCGAGTGTCAAACCGTGTGGTTGGAGTTGCAGGTGTTGTCATGCCACCTAGTAATGGATTTTGTTGACCCAATTGACCGAGAAGTAATTGTGACAGTAAAATATTTGCCAAAGGGGAATTTGCACCGGGAAGGGATGGTTGAACAGTAGAGATAATATTTTCTACTGAATAAATAGTGGATGGTATAATGACAGATTGTGATGCCCTGCGACCTCCTAAACTTGTTAGGGTGTAGGACACTCTAGTTGTTGGTTTTTCGTGCAATAAAAAACGGGTTACTTCAACTTGACCCTGTGCATTGGTTCCGGTATTTTGAGAATTTATGACAACCAATGGATTGCCATCACCACTAAGGACTGTGCTGTATAATTCTGGGGCTAACACTTGTGTACTTGGCTGAGCAGTTATGATGTTACGTTTCTCGGTGATTCCGTTGGTTACATATGGAATTGTTACCTCCACGGGTACATAATGGGTAACAGTGATGGTTCCATCAAATTCAGGATAGACAAATCCAGCTTCTCGAAAATCTTCATGAGGTCCTCCTCTTGATCTGGAAGGTAATCGTCTGTTGTTACTACCTCTTCCTGAATTTCGTGACGATGATCGTGAACTTGGAAGTCTTCTCGATGAATCTCTACTACTGCCTCTCAATCTGGAACTGGTTCTTGATCTAGTGTCTACTCGACGAGTTCCTGATGTTGTTGGTCGTTTATAACTGGATCTAGTTGTACCTGTATCTTTTTCCCTTAAGGTGAATTGTCGAGATAATCCTGATACTGGTGATGGTTTTACGCGAGGTGATGTTCCACGATTTGGAGTTGGTTTGGTTCGGGAACGGAGATTATTAACTTCTGATGATTCGGAATTGTCGATTGGTTTTTTTCCCGTTATACTTGGTCGTGGTACATTCAATGATCTTCCACGATTCGCATATTTGGAATTGTATTTGGAATTGGTTTTACTAAAATCCTCATCACTTGAAGCGGCATCAGAGTCAATTCTATCTTCCAAATATCCTGAGGATTGTGACGAAGGTCTACGGGCACGATTACTGTATGCTCTCAACTGACTTGCTTGACGACGAACTCTTCTATTTCTTCCATAACCAAATGGTCTGATTTGAACGGGTTGTTTAAATGATTTTGCTGTTCTAGAGGAATTGCGTGCCGGTGCAGTTTCCTCGTGTTCTGAACCTTCATAATCGTTGTCAGCTATTTCCTCCACGGGAATATCTTCTAAATGTTGAGAATGTTCGCTAACTGATGCTTCATTTATACTTTCAGTGACGCCTTCCGTTGGTTCGGGTTTCTTGCCAAAAAGTCCTCTTGGTGGAAAAAGACCAGTTTGACCTTGTCTGGGTCTTGTAGATGGTAATGGGGTTGTTGGTCGAACATTCGCCCTAGCACGACTTACAACACCATTCTGACGAGTTAGATTATTAGGCCTTCTTGGTGCTGCTGGTGTTGTTGATCGTGGTGCAGTTGTTCCTCTCGGAGATACGTTTCCTAAAAGCGGTCTACTGCGGAATCTCAACAAAGGATTCGTTGATCTTCTTGGAGATTCTGTGGTGGTTTGTATAGTTGTTAAATCTTCATCAGCAAGTGTGTAGGGAGTTTCTTCGGTCACCAAAGTCGTTGCAGTGAATTCATTTGCATTATCTTCTTGATCATCTTGACGAGAGGTTGGCGTTACTTTGGCTAATGTTGAAGAGGGTCGAATTCCAGGTCGATATCTGCTGGAAGCTCCTGGAAAGACAGAACTTGAGGCAATGCGAGACGCTGGTCTTGCCGAAGAGCCACGTATTGAAGATGGTCCTCTTCGGTTAGCTGAAAATGATGACGAAGGCGTTATTCTTGACTGAGATCTACCACGAGTGGATCCTGCTGGTGCACCAGAACTTGACAGTGTGCTTGTTGGTGAAATTCTTCTGCCTGCAAATCTTCTCGAATTTGATGGCGATAAAGTGGATGAATAAGGACCAATTGGTGAAGTTACTCTAACTCTTGATGATGCATATCGGTTACCTTTACCAGCCAGTGTTGCAGTAACTGTGGGTGTGACATCAGTTCTTGTAATTGTCGTCGCACCTTGAGCATTTTTACGTTTTGGATTGAAAGTAGGACGGTTTCTTGAGGCGAAGGGTCTAATGACGGGAGTAAATGTCCTCTTTCTGCTTGAGAAGGTTAAACGTGATTTTTTGGTATTCTTCTGGCCATCTTCGTCCTCCTCATCGTCTTCTCCATCCTCGTCTTCTTCTTCTCTTTCTTGATTGTCATCTTCGTCGTTAGCAGTGGGATCTTCTGACAAAGATGACTGAATAACAGCAGGTGAAGGTGAAATGTGAATTCCTGTTGCATGATTAGGTTTTAGAGTTGCGGTAGGTGCCAAATTGTGACCAACAGTGGGACTTGTTAGATAGCTAGAAGTGCTTTCAATGATCTGAGCATATCTTCCCTCGATGCTCGTACCAATTACTTTTGATTCATAAAATACTGACGTACCATTAGCGACAATATTTCCTTGAATAAGCCTTACTAATCCAGTTCGATGACCATGAACTGGAGAATGCGTTGCTAATTTTGCTTCATCAATCTTTGTACTGGATGTGCTTTCGATGACTTTAGCGTAAAGACCATCAATTAGGGTTCCAATTTGTTTGGTGGTAAAGAAAACGGTTGATACTTTATCGGCATCGACAATGCTGCCCATATTTAGAGAAAGAACTCCTGTTGGTAAAACAGGAGTTGCTGTTGAAGATTTTGGTGTTTCGAGTTTAGTAGAACTTTGTTCAACTTGGGCATACAGTCCATCGATGTAGGTACCATATACGTCTGTAAGATAGTGAGTAGTTGTTCCATCAGCTACGTGACTTGATCTGACTGTTGATAATAATCCAGTCTTTGATAACCCACTAGCTTTTGATGGCGCAATTTCGTTCAAAGCCTTTTCATTTGTACCGAGGACTTGAACAGTTGGAATAGCACCTCCAATTGCTCGACCAGTAGCTACATTGTCAGCATCTTCGGGATAGTAAACACTGGTTACGGTTTCTAATCGACTATTCAAAACTGTTGAATCACCTACGTAGGAGGTGGTGAAATAAGTATAGGTTGTGTAAAAGGTTGTTGGATCTAGTGCAACTGTTGCCAATGGTTCAACGGAGCTAGCACTGTCTTTAATTGTCTCAATTCCATTCCACGTGTTGTCTATATTAATTTTACTGCTTGGTTTCTCGGGGAAAACGGGAACAAACGATGCAACTTCATTGTCAGCTGTAACTTTTTCCTTGTCAACATTTTGATATGATGGACTGTCTGAAATATCGGGTCTGTATGTCATCACCGAACCAAGTTCAATGGTTGGCGTTGCTGCAATTCCAGGTTCAACGACATTGCTCACAATTTCCTCGCGACTTGTTGTGATTGTGTCACCACCTTTGTAGAAAGTGGTCCAATAAGTGAAGGTTGTGAAATAAGTTACGGGTAGTGTGCTACTACTCTCGGCAGAAAGTACAGCGGTGGGTTTTATAGTTTCTGTGACGACATTCGTGACAGTTTCCAATCGACTGACAACATTGGATTCATCACCTTTGTACATGGTGGTAAAGTATGTG